TGTTTAAGTAGAATTAAATTTAGTCTATTATTTTTGGTGTTATAATAGACTCTTATCACAGCTTCATTACTATATAATGGTCTTTATCTTCGCCAGCCTTAGTTCATTACCCCTTAAGTTCTCCTTTAATTATGTGTCTTATTTCTCTCATCTGAATCCACTATCAGCCCCAAATATGGGAATTGAAACCTTGAACGGTACGAATTTTTCTTCATGGAAAGATTAACTGATGCTAACTCTTGGCATGTTGGATTTTGATTATGCACTGAGAGAGCCTGCCCTTCCTGCCCTCACTGATAAAAGTACTGCTGAAGATAAAATAGTAAATGAGAGATGGGAGAGGTGCAACAGAATGGCTCTTATGCTCATTAAAAATTCCATCAGCATAATCATCAGGGGAGCTATTCCAGATTCATCTAATGCTAAAACATATCTGGCTTCCGTGGAGGAACAATTCAAAGCAACTTCTAAGGCACATGCCAGTACTCTTATTTTGAAGATGGTGACTACAAAATATGACGGGAATAGCGGCATTCGTGAGCACATCATGATGATGAACGACATGGCCCGTAAGCTCAAGGGATTAGACATGGAGATCAGGGAAGGTTTTCTGGTGCACTTTATAATGACTTCTCTTCCTGCATCTTTTGAAGCTTTCAAGGTCAACTACAACACCCAGAAGGTCAAGTGGTCGATGAATGAGTTGATTGCTATGTGCGTACAAGAAGAAGAGCGTCTCAAGTTGGAAAAACCTGATGTGGCTTACCTCATGACCGCTAATCCAAAGAAGAGGAAGGGCAATGTCGATAAGAAGGATGTTTCTAAAGTCCAGAAACGTGATGCAAGTGCTTCTTCCAGCTCTAAGCACTCTAAAGGGAAGTCTTACTGCAAGTTCTGCCGCAAGGAAGGACATAGACAGAAAGACTGCCAAGACTTTAAGGAGTGGCTGACGAAGAAAGGTAATCATCTTTACATGATACTTGAGTCCTTTAATTTAAATGTTCCAACTAATACATGGTGGTTTGATTCTGGTTCTATGGTTCATGTAACCAACCCACTTCAGGGATTCCTTACAATCCAGAAGCTGGAAAGAAACCGAAGAACACTTAAGCTGGGGAATGGAACAGAACTAGTTTTCGAAGCCGTGGGAACTTTAGAATTAATAATGAAAACTGGTTTATGTATTAAACTTTATGATACCTTATATATTCCTGAGATTACTCGAAATTTAGTATCAGGACCAAAGTTAGACATAGACGGTTTTGATGTTTCTCATGGTCATGGTAGACTTACTATTAGTTTCAATTCTCAAGTGTTTGGTCATGGTTTTCTGGATGGTGGTCTCTATAAATTAGAACTAGATGATGATTTTTCCAAATCTTTGTTGTCATATAATATCAATTTGACACTAACAAAGAGAAAACGAAAACGAGACTTAGAAACTTCATCCATGTTGTGGCATCAACGCTTAGGCCACATTTCAC